GGGCGCAGCCGCAGGCCCCGCCGCGACCGTCCCGACCCGGGGGCAGGGGCGGGGGGCGCCGGGGACCCGGCGTCAGTTCCGCCCGCACCAGCTAGAGACCGTCCCGCTGCCGCCGCCGCCGCCTCGGCCCCCGCCCCGCCCCGCGGCGCCGACTCACCGCCCGGGCCAGCGCCAGGCGCCGCGCGCGCAGCAGCCGCGACAAACCTCGGAGCCCGGACATGTCCGCCGCTGCACTGTCCCGCCAGCCCCCGCGCCGGACTGCGCCTGCGCACCACGCGCGGGGCGGGCGGGCTATCGCGCCTGCGCACCACGCCGCGACTGCGCAGAGCGGGCCCGCGGACTGCAGCGTTGGGGGTACGCGGGGCTTCCGCGCTCCCGGCCCTAGGTATGTCGGGGCGCTCAGGGGCCGGGCCGGGCCGGGCCGGGCCGGGTGGGCCCTGCTCAGGGGAGGGTTTGGGCGTCGATGTTCCTAAAAATAGCCTCCTGGGTGTTTCCCTGGGATTGCCAGGACTGAGAGGACTCGAACCTCCAGACGGCACGCAATGGCGTCGGAGGGGAAGCGGCCGCGGCCTCGCCGGAGCCCTCCCTCTGGGGACCCGCAACCGCTGTCCTGTAGCCCGGACAACACAGCGAGACCCTGTCTCAAAAAAAGAAAACATCGGTTGCTCGGGATGTGGTTGACAGCATCAAGGGCTGAGGCGGAGTGTGGGGAAGGCTCGAGGTGCTGAGCACCGACGTCGCAGAGGCTAGGCTCAGCGACCTCTGCGACCCGGCGGCGGGGCTCCCAAGCAGCGGGGACTACAGACGTATGCCACCACGCCTGGCTGAGTTTTTAATTTTTTGTGGAGACCCAGTGTTGCCCGGTGTCAACGGAGAAGAAGTCAAACTCTGTAAAATACTTTAAGGAGGTTTATTCCGAGGCAAACTTGAGGACCCTGGCCCGGAGCCACGCCCAAGAAGCCTTGAGCAAGTTGACTCGCTGTGGCTCAGTTTGGTTTTATACATTTCAGGGAGACAGGGATTACAGGTGAAGTCGTAAATCAGTACATGGAAGGCGTACACTGGTTTGGCCTGAAAACGTGGGCCCTCTCAGGGCAAGGGCTTACAGGTCGTAGGTGGGTTTAGGGATTAAGGCAAGACTTCTCAACGTGGGGGCTTGCGAGTCGTAGGTGGGTTTAGGGATTGTGTAGTTGGCGATTGGCTAAAAGAGTTAGGCTTTGTCCAAAGGCCAGGAATCGGCAGAAAGGAATACTCGAATTAACATCAGTGTCTTCTATCCTTCATGAGATGCTATACTGGCATCAGGTCGGGAAGTAAACCACATCATAAAAACCTGTTCACTGAGACTTTATCATTTGTAGCTGTGACTCACCAGGCCCTCTTAGAAAGGAATTTTTTGAGCAAAGAAAAAGATCAGAGTTCAGTCCTCACCAGGCTGGTCTCAAAACTCCTGGCCTCAAGCGATCCTCTTGCCTTGGCCTCCCAAAGTGCTAGGATTACGGGTGTGGAGCACACCCAGCCACAGCTGGTGTTTTCGTACGGTCCTCCTTCCTCACACTCTTCTGACTGTTTGGAAGACCCTTTCCCTTTGTCTCTCCCTGTTAAAGTGCCGCCCATTCTTCAAAACCGAGCTCACAGGAGACCTTGTGTCTAGTGTGAGCTGCATATATACATAATCTATAATTTTACATGTGAATAATTATATATTTTTGTATGCAACTGTATTAACAGAGTTCTCCAGAGAAACAGAACCAGTAGAGGGAGCAGAGAGA